GGATGGGCTAAATGGGTAAGGACATTAAGGAATCTACTCCTGAAATCATTGTTGCACTATATGCTAACTAACTTGGAGGTAAATCTTAAAAAATAAATAAAAAATTTTTAAGTGGATTGAGGTGTTTTGGTGAAGTGAGACTTTTAACATTTTCGAGTCAAGGAAGTTTGGAAAGTCGAGAAGATTATAAGTACAGTCATTTTATTTTTAAATGCTTCGAGGTTCAGAGAGGAAGCAAGACCAACCTGGCACTCTGCAAGACAAAACAAAAAACAAAGCAGAACAAAAAGACTCTTGGTTCTCAAGGAGGGTGAGTCCAATTAAAAAAGACAATTGCTCTCTTGTACTAAAATCTGACACACAGGAAGCACACTCAGGGGTCACTTCTCACACTCTCCTGCCTGATCAACTTTCAAAGGAGAGAGAGAAAACAGAGAGGTTGCAGAAATACTGTACCAGAAGTTTCTGGAAGCCCTCACCCATCTGATAACAGCCTACATGTGCCTGACTCTGCATAATAAAGATACAAGACTTTCTGCTTTACTTTTTTCCAAGCTTAGAGCTACACTTCAGAGCTTTGAGGCATATTCATCCTATTTTCCTGGGTGGCTTATTTATGCTCAGTGTTTTATTTCTTACTATTATTACTAATTCTCACCTTAGTTTTGGGTAGGCACAAATCTAATTTTTCAAGTTGTCAACCATTAGTCAATGCCATATTTTAAATATTTTTATTACAACATAAATACTCATGAACACTGAAGACACACAAATTTTATGAAGAAAATATCACTCATCCTTCTCCCCCACCCTTTCATTCTCATTATCTTAAGGCAAACATGACTAACCACAAAGTATTATCTTTCCATAATCTCTATGAGAAACAAATATATAAATATATCCATGCACAAATATATATATGTGGTTTTATTTTTGTTTTTATAAAAGTAATATCATATTCACTCAAATCTGGCAAACAAACAAAAAATGTCCCCAAAATTCACAAGAACAAGGTCTGACTGGCTGTTTCCTCTTGTTGCCACCTATTCAATTCTCAGCCCCACTAGGATCACTAGTGACCTCCCAACTGGCAAACCCGATGGCCACCTTTCAACCTCTACCTTATTTTAGCATCTTATCTTTGCACTCGCCAACCTTAACCCCACTTCCTTGCAGCTCCAGTAACGCTTTCTGCGCCATCGCTTCTCGTTCTCATTATTCCTTCACTCCTTCCTTTGTTGCTCCTCCTCCTATCCTCTCTACTGAATGTTTTTAGGCCTCCTTTCTCTCTCTCCGTAATATCACTGACATTTCTGATCATTGCCCGTGACCTCAGCTATCACACAAGTGAAGAAGACTCCACATTTGTATTTCCACCTGATCTCTCTGTGACCAATGGCCAACTAGATGTCTCTGCCAGAGAGCTATGTCTCAAATTCTAGGTTTCCCCAAACCCCCAAAATCTTTCTCTAGTTTTTCATCCCCTATCTCAACCAACAGTCTCTCCATCCATGCTACCACAGTAGCCAGAAACCTTCAAGTATCCTTGTCACTTTGCTCTCCTAACCCTTTGCACCAAGCACCACTAACTTCACTGACACATTTGACCTCTCTTATCTATCCTGCAACCTCAGCCTAATGCAAGTCCTTCTCCTTTGTTATCTGAATTACTACAGATCATCCTGTTTCAAGTCTCTTCCCAGTCATCCTCTATGACACCATAAGAGTGAATTTTCTAAAATGGTCAGTCTCACCATGTCAGGCCTCTCAAGATTCCCCTTGATCCAATCAGTGAGTCCCCTTGCCTATCAAACAATATTTGAACTCTGTTGGGTAATTCAGTATAGTTTCAATTAGTTCATCAAACCAATCTCTTGTCACCCCTCTTGTGTAAACTATCCTTATGCAAAAACCTTCTCCCAGTGTCTTAAGCAAGTTATCTGTGTCTTGTTGTTCTCCCCAGAAAAAAATAATAGGGATAATGAATGTTTATTGAGTATGAGCTATGATCGATGTGTCTTTCCTTTATTACTCTTTTAATCTTCATAAAATCCCTATAAGATAACCACTATTATTATCTCCACATTACAGATTAGGAAACCTGCCCCTGAATGACATCTTCCAATTTGCTCATCCAGTAATAACCTACTTATCCCTCAAGGTACAGCTCAAATTTTACCTCCTTTCTCTCTAGCCATCCAGCCAGAATTCAAAACAGAATAGGTGTTCAATGTTTGCTGAATGAAAAAAAGACAGAGTGGCTGGAAGGCAACTTGTCATTAATTCTTGCATGGAATTCAGAGTGAAATACTCACTGATGTTTTGGGTTGCATGAAGCTTTCTTCCATGTATGTGATATTTGAGTTCTCATTCATGCTTGCCTTTTTAGTCCATAGCGCTATTCAGAAAAAACTTGTCATATCACATATGTACCCGAAGAACCAGAGACAATGAGAGTCCTTCCATGTTCATTGCTTTCTAAGAAGTAGGTCAGAAACATCATATATTACTTTTTTTCACCATCTTAAACATGTAGAGAACTATTATCTACTTACTGCCCCAAATGCTCCCTATGAAGAAAGAGCATGGCTGAACTGGCATACACTACCAGCACTATAGTAGAATGAGACTGGCTCAATCCTCTACCCTTAAACCCTTAAATTTGGGAAGAGAATCCCTGGCCTTCTGTGACCATGTTCTTTCTCATAGACCAAGGCTTGCCTAGAGCCAAGGGTTCATGGTCACCCACAGCCTACATTTCTCCCTCAAAACCATGCTTCTTGCACCTGGACCCCTGAATCCTTTGCCAAAATTACCCTGAGTCACTTTCAGAGCCAGAGCAGGCCTTTTCTCTGGGCCCTTCCTCCTAAGAGCAGACCATACCAATGAAAAGAATGTCCCTACAGTCAAAGAGGGGCCAAGAGATGCCTGTTTGTGAGGTGGTTGGCACTTCTACCTGTAGGTTAGCCTACCTACACATATGCACATGATCCACAGAGCCACATTGAGGAGAGGGGTGGGGGGGGAGGGGAGTGAGGGGAAGAGAGGGGAGGAAAGGTTGGAAAAGAAGAGACAAGGGGAGGGGAGAGAAGAGAAGATCTAACTGTGGACTGGGAGTGCAGGTTCCCCCAGGCTGCCACTTTCAGATGTAGAACTCTTAGAAGTCCAATAAACTTGACCTTCTAAGTCATTATGAAGATATATAAGTCAAGGTAGGTGAATAGAAGATATTTTATGTAACAATGTGTTAGCCTAAAGTATAACTTATAAATATTTAGTCATCATAATATGCGGGCACTCATTTGTATCTTTGCACTGAGCTCTGCCAATTTGAGGAATGGGACTGCTCTTATACTACAGAAAGCTGTTAAGTGGTAGAACTGGTTCTTTAGTGGCACTCTATAGAGAAAGCTAGAAGAGGCAGGCGAGCAAGTAGTGAGAGTCTCTGCACACACAGAGCATATGCAGGAATTAATTCTTATGTAAAACATCTGAGAAAAAGACACCCAGAGGGTAGAGCTAAGTTCTGAATCTGAAACTCCTAGCAAAGGCCTAAGGAAACAGCTCTCAATCCTAAGAGTTCTAAGAAAGAAGTCTGGGCCAGCATCCAGGAGTATACACCAAGTAGGAAGAAACAGGCAAGAAGCCAATTCCACACCAGGAGTCAGAGACACTTCTTTGTTTGCCCCTGGGAGTGCCATTTGTGATGCTTACCATGTGAGTGGTACCCTAGTGTTTGTACAATGCTACAGCCCTACAGGGAGGCTAGGAACAGCATTTCTATGTTTCCACCAATATAGATGACCCCTGCAAGTGACAGCAGCACCAGTTATTCCTCCTGTACCTATAACATCTGCTAAATACTGACAGCCAGGGCCAGCCAATATGAGACTCTAGCAGTGTAAATCTCCAGAGTTGGTAGGAACTGTTGACTGGAACTATGGGACTAGAATAATGTCAAACGAAGCACATGTAGTTGTCACAAGACAACTGCAAACCCTCAAAGTACTTCCCAATGATAGGAGGGCCAACTGAGCAAAAGTTAATTTGGTATTCTGTCCATCTTTCTACATATCCCCAAGAGAAATAAAGCAGGGATCATCCTTTCTAAGTCAAACTCCATATCAAGAGACACATATGGTTCAGTGTCTCACTTTGTCTAGATACAGAAATTTTTCAAATCAGAATATGTGTAGGAACAACAAAAAAAAATCCCTGGAACAATGTCTCAGGAATTCCCATGTGTTGTGGAATGTATGCTAAGTGAAACTTTAGTGCACTAAAGGAATAGGTTCTGAAATCAGACAAATGTAGGTTCCTCGATGGTAAGCAACAGAAAATAACTTAAGCAAATATGATGATGATGATGATGATGATGATGATGATAGAGCAACATTATGATGAAGCTCTCAGAATTGAAGGGAAAGCTGGCAAACAGACTTGGAAAAGACAAAAACTATAGACACGTCAGGGAATCTCATTTCAGAAAAGTCTTTGGGAAACCAGAAGGACGGACAAGTCTCAGTGATTCTCAGTACTTTGTTTCTTTATACAGGATTCACATTTATGGGGGAAAAAAGCATCCAATTGGCCTAGTCAACCAGCCTAGTCAAGACTAGTTATATGTCTAGTCTTAATAAGAGGACACTTTGACCAACAATACTACAAAACTGTATCAAATAGGAAAAGTAGCAAATTTTCCCCAAAAAATTAACCAAAAAAGGTGAAATGGGCACAAGGCAGTTAAAAGTTAGTAACGGTCTCTGCAACTACTTATTATCTGTGTGAATTTAAGCAAATCACTTACTGCTATTGACTCAGTGCTCATGTCCCCCCAAAATTTGTATGTTGAAATCTAGTGCCCAATGTGATGATATTTGGAAGTAGGGCCTTTGGGAGATGATAAGGTCATGAGGGTGGGGCTTTCATGAATGGGATTAGTACCCTCATAAAAGAGACCCCAGAGAGTTCGCCCAGAGGGAAAGCCCCTCACCCCTTCAGCCTTGTGAGGACACAGTGAAAAGACAGCTGTATATGGACCAGGAAGCAGGCTCTCCCCAGATGTCAAATCTGCTAGTGCCTCTATCTTGTACTTCCAGCCTCTAAAACTATGAGAAATAAATTTCTGTTGTTTTAAACAACCCAGTCCATGGTATTCTATTATAGCAGCCCAAAGTAAGATACTTACCCACTTATACCCTCTGCTAAAATGTGACTTCACAGGTCAGGGGTCTTTGTCTAGTTCATTCACTGATGTATCCCAATAGCCTCAAATGAACCTGACACATAAAGAGCTCTTAGTCAATATTTGTCAGAAGAATGAATCTCTCCAAGACTCAGTTCCCGCACTGAAACTGAGATGCCTTGTAGATATATGTAAAACGTCTGCTACAAAGTGCTATAAGAAGAGATCAAGAAATTCTGATTTAGTTATTGCTTTTATTAGAACAAACACTGCTAGAGGCACCTGGGTAGTTCAGTTGGTAAAGCATCTGGCTCTTGGTTTTGGCTCAGGTCATGATCTTATGGTTCGTAGGTTCGAGCCCCACATCGGGCTCCACGCTGACAGCATGGAGCCTACTTGGGATTCTCTCTCTCTCCCTCTCTCTCTCTCTGCCCCTCCTCTGCTCTCTCTCTCAAAATAAATAAACTTAAAAAAACTGCTCTTAAAAAAAAAGAATACTGCTAGAATTATTTACTATAAACAAAGTAGAAAAATCCCTTGTGATTATGACAGTTTACTCTGTGAAACCACAATACAAAACAAAAGTTATTCATTATTAGTTCAATACAGTCTGTTACTTTTAGAATTTTAGAACAAAGTAAATAATTTGTCCAATGATGTAACAATATGAAAGGAAATGGAAAAGTGAATTTTAAAAAGCTAGTGTATCCTCAGGGGAGTCTGGTTGCCTAAGAGTGGCACCAATGTATCATTAGCTCCAGACCCAAAATGTTATAGCCTGATGATCTCTGGGCCCTCAGTGATGCTTTATCATACTTTTTTTCCACTCTGAGTTGTTTTCATTTTCCTTACCCCATAGCAGATACTCCAACAGTATTTATCCGTCTCTAAGAGCCTCTATTACAATGTGTTCCGCTTCCTTCCCTATCCAAGGTTGGTATTTCCACTTCTCTTTGAATATTAGAAGACATTAAACCAAATGAGAAAGAAGAGAGGGAAACTGGGCTAGTACACGCATGACATTCAGCCACATATCCCCACCTTTCTTCCTGGTTCTATGGAAGGAAGTTATTCTTATCCTTTCCAAAGGATGGCTTTTCCACCGAGATTCCAAATCATATTTCCCTCGGCTATTTCCTGGGCGTTACCTTAGGTAACAAATTTCTCGTTCTCTGATTACAAGCCAGCTCACCATTCCCCTTCCTAAAACTCTCTCATGACCCTTCTCTCTCCCCATCACTGAGCTTTTTCTGCCCTCGCTTTCATGAACAAACTCCTTAAAAAGCTCTCTACACTCACTGTCCCACCCCCACTCACTCCTCAGCCCACTGAAGTTGTCTGCTGCCCCCACCATTCTACTGATGCTTTCAAAACACATGTCTGCCATGACTCACCAGCTGCCATGCCAGGGTCCACTGCTTAACCATCCCCCAACATAAATTCCTTTTTTTTTTTTTTAAGATTATTTTTTTATTTTGAGAGAGAAAGAGAACATGCAATCAGGGGAGGGGCGGAGAGAGAGTGCGAGAGAGAGAATCCCAAGCAGGCTCCACAATGTCAGCACAGAGCCTGACACAGGGCTTAAACTCATGAACCATGAGATCATGACCTGAGCTGAAATCCAGAGTCAGATGCTTAACTGACTGAACCACCCAGATGCCCCCAACCTAAATTCTGTGCAACAGATACCTCCATGGTTCCCACTTTGGGCCCCCTCCTAAGTATCTGACTGTTAAATTCTAGTTGTTTTCTCCAGTTTGGTCTCTCAGCAAACACATACTGAGCACGTATCAGGCACTGCCCTGCATGCCAGAAAATAAAAGTGAGTAAGATCTAAAAGTAATCTGTACCCTAAATTGAATTATGAAATAGTGCAAGGACATTAGTGGTAAAATTGATATAATCTGGAAAAAGTCTCTATTTTAGTTAGTAGTATTGTGCTATGTTACTTTCCTAGTTTAAAAAATGTACCATTGGG